TAATTAAAAAAAAAAAAAAAAAAAAAAAGCCTAATAAAGCATCACAGGCAGCACAAACCAGTGTGTGAGTAACATCCTCTGCCAAAAACCAGTAGTGCAGGCTGATGTGTAAGCTGAACCATGTCATCAATACCTGGACAACTCTGTCCAGACAGCTTGAACATTTTAGAAACCAAACTGACAGAACATGAAAGCACAGATGGGATAGCACGGAAGGGAAGGAAGCATACAGGAGATCAGGAGTCACCCTTTACTCACACTGCACAGTTCAGTGACTCAGCAGAGTCACTGCCAGCTGAAGTTATCAAATTTATACCTCTCTTTAAACTTAAATTTGCATCTCCCATTCTATTCCCTTAGTGCTAGGTCCTGCTTTGAGTCTGCCTCCCCAAAATAGGGCAAACTGCTTTTCAACTCTCCCCTGTCAATCTTAATTCCCCTACCCCTCCTTCTTACTCCTCCGGGATAGGAGGAATAATCTTCTAAAGTATTTATTTATAATGTCCACACTGCCTCATGAACATCAGCCAGCATTTGCAAACCTGTAGTATTTTTTCACATAATGAAAGAAACATATAAATCTTGTTTCCACAGTGAGCTCAAGGAATGAGAAGTTATACCAGCAAAGGGGAGAGACCCTGCTGCAGGCAGCCCTGCTCTCATGACAGCTGCAGAAGAGGTCAGGGTCCTTCTTCCCCTGCAGCTTTCCTCACAAGATGGCACTAGAATAAATGGTTAGGACAGGGATGCCAGACTGTGGCAGACAGAAACTTCAAAGCAGAACATGAATGTAGCTTGAACAGATGAGTGCCCCCTCTGTTCCTACACGGAATTAGACAAACTGCTGATGCTTGCCACGTCTGCTGCTGCCACTGCTGATGGCTGTCTCTGAAGAAAGGAATGCCAGAAACCTGTGCTTTCAAGTGCAAAGTGCTGCACACACACTTGATGCTCCCACTGTGCTCTCTGCCTCAGCAGGTGTTTTTAATAGTGTTGCTAGTCAGAACCAGGTGGTTTTGCTTGCATCCATTTTTCATCTCAGGATTTTGAACACTGACACCAACATTTCTATTAGGGGAGCAAGCACTTCCAAAGGCATGGAGAGGCAAAGCAAGTGGCAGCGAGCCGTGAGCTGCAGACACATGTAGCACACGCAGCCAGGGCTGGCAATGCACCACAGGTGCCACTGGGCAGGGCTGGCAGAGCTCAGGCACATCCTCAGCTGGCTTAGAAACACAAGAGGAGCCTCCAACTTGTGTCTCTCAAAGATTTCTCTTTAAATGTCAACTGAAAATTAAGGGGTAAAAATGTTTTCTGCAAGCAGGCAGGCAGGAACTGACAGAGCAGGTGTGCAAAGACAGACTCTCAGCACAGTTTCTGGGTTCCCAGCTTGCCAGCTCGAAATAGAAACTCAGACCTTGCAGGCATTCAGTCTCAGAGTTTACATTTTTTTATCTTATTACAAAGGACAGGTAGACTTAATAATTGACAAGAGCTTCTAGCCCCTCTAGCCCTTGTGTCTACTTCCATTAGTTCTTCATTTCTGCTATCCAAAGCATAGTGAATATATTAAAAAAATAAAAATTTCTGTATGAATTCAGTGCTTTGCAGTAAGGATCTCTAAACACCAGTTAACTAGCTCTTACAAGTTGCTGACTCTAGACCCATGATAGCTTCCCCCTTTATATTAAATCATTACAGTGTCTGCAATACTCCCTGGGTTGATGGCTGAGTATATAATTTACACTAAGTTGTGGTAAACAGTACTGTGATCTCATCAAAGGATGTTCATGAAATCTAGCTCTAATCAAATCCACCCCTGCTAGCCAAAAATGATCGTTTTGCCTGAAGAAAGTTACAAATACATCTCAAGTGGAAAATGTAAAAAATACTCCCAATAGTCTCTTCTGAAGAAAGGACAGTTTTCAGAAAGATAAAACCAGCTTTTTAAGACCTCTTATTTTATCTTCACCTATCATGGTCTTTAGCATTTCCAAGCTGAAGCCCCATCTCACAAATCAACTCAATACAGTAAACTCAGACTAAGGAATGCATTGGTTGAATTAATTTTCCTGTGCTTGTAGAGGTTTATTCTTAGATACAGAAGAGGAAAAAATGATAGCTTGTTAGAACAACAGAAGCACATACAGATCAGATTGGAAGGAAGTCCAACCTAGCAACAGAAGCTTTAGATAAGCTACTACAAAATGCAAAAGTAAAAAAAGAAGTTAGCAGAAGCACCTGTTTAAATGTGTTGAAGCTGCAGAGCAGAGGTGAACCATGTGAGACAGGCACTTCTATTTGACCATAAATATTCTGCTGCTTCAAGAGTGTTGCACACAACCTGTCTGTATGCATACTGTATTTCTCCTAAAAACTCATCTGTTGGTGAGTCTTGACTATGACTGCATGAGACCACGACTTCAGTCATGTGCAGCATTGTCAAACAGTTCACTTACATTTATCAGTAATGGAAATTTGTCAGAGCCAAGCCCCAGGAATCTGATTTTACTGATACACTGCCAGTGGTTGACTTGTCAGCACCAAGAGGCAATGAAATGGACTACAAAGCATAAGTGTTTGATTTTGCTATTTTTCTAAAAGCTCTGATAGCACTGCTCAAACAATCTCCCACAACTGCATCATTAATTTCCCTAGGATAATCTGCCTCTGTGATTTTAGAACAAATAACAGCTAAGCAATGATTTCTGCACACCAATAAAACCAATGGGGTTTCATTCAATTCCTCAGTTTTGCTTTTTTTGAGGGTTTATTGATCACCTTAAAAGGCAAGGGTGATTACACATTGTTGCCATTGAGCAAACACTTCAAGCACATTAAACTGCCTGGTGATTTACAGGAGACCCTAATGGCATCTTCTTCTGCTCAGATGGCAGCAAACCTTTCTGCCTTCATGTTCCTGCCAATATTTGTGTAAAAGACTTTTTAACACCCCAGTAATTCTGTGTGAAATATGATCTAAGCTTATGATTCATAAAATTGAAAACATATTAGAACACAAAGTGATAACAGCAACAAAATAAGACCCTGCTGATCCTTCTGTAGATGGGACTGACATTATACATGAGAAATATCATGTTATAAATAATCCCCCATTATACAATCCTCACAGTAGCTTACTGATGCTTTTTAAAAAACAACTGTTGTTAGGAAATATTTTCAATCAAAAAGTTAAAATCATCATTACATCAATAATGTTTCATCAATAACTGTATCAAGAAGCAACAGAGTTTTAGTGTCTCCAAACTTCAGAAAGCTTAAAAAAGTATTTAAAAAGGGGGAATAGAGGAAAGCATTTTTTGTCCTTCTTCAGAAGTTTACAAGTTATTGAAAAACTAAGGCTACTTGTAAATGATAAATACACATAACAGGGCAAAGATCCCTTTAAAAACCACATTGCTTGAGAAAAATATGGATGGATTTGGAACTCTTCATCCATTGCTACACTTTGAACCAGTATGCAAAGATATCAAGCTAAATTGGACCTTGGTAGTGATGGTTAACTTAATGCAGGATTCTCTTACACTCAACATTGAATGGTAAAAAACATGGCAATGACAAGGGAGGAATTTCTTGCAGCAGGGAAAATGTGTTTAGGGAGGTAAACGGTCTGCAGTCCTAACAGATGTCTGTCACTGACTCATGTTTTGGTGCTGCTCTCAGGCAAAGACCACAGTGCTGAAGCCTCTGAATGGCACCTCTCAAAGGTTAACCTAATCCTAGACAGGAAAAAAGCATCAACAGGAAAGAAGTGGTGCCTTTAGTTATCTACACATTTCAAACACTAATGATGGATTGTGTTTACAAAATGAAGCCATTCTTTTCTACTAACCACGCCAATTTTAGGAGAATCTGAAGACATAGAAAGGAAGGTCTGTGTTATAAGTTTCCTGAAAATTGTATATTCCATTTTTGGCTGGGTAAAAAAACCTGTTATTGTCTGTGCAAAACAAAGGTAAGACTTCACATAACTATAAAGTGGAGTAAGATTTTCCTTCAAGGAATGAAGGTCACTTCATAAGGACTTTTCAAAGACTTCAAATGAAAATAAATGCTTCTGCAAAACCCCACATGTAAGTTAGGAAGTCCACCCAGAAGGCAAGCAGGCTTTGAAGTCAGCAATGGTCAAGCAGTAATACAGTCCAGGTTTTTCTTTTACTTAGATTATTCCAGCTCTTCCCTACCCTCTTTATACTAATTGAAAAATGGTCACCTGCAAAAGATTAACCAAATATCCCCCAGCATAATTCAATCTCTCTCTGCAGGACCTCCTCTTCTCCTGTACTACTGTAACTCAGGGTGGATGTGGGTATGGGTGCTGTGCTATAAATCAGATCACTGAAATTATCTAGGTTGAAAAAAAAATCTTGCAGGCCAAAAAAGGTAATTGCTGTAGTTTCTGTTTCTACAGACATGTGGATAAACATGAATCAAAAGGTGACAAGTTGCCACACCAGGTATCAAGAGCCCAGAAGCTTCCTAAAATCACCATTGGGGGCACAGAAAATGCATCATGTAACTATGCAGAACTTGAGGCTGTGGAAGCCTCCTAACACTTCTCAACACATCAGCACATCAGTAACTGATGTGTGTGTGTTTAAGTGAACAAATCTGTTCACTTCAAGGAAGGATTTCACAGATTTTTTTTTTCCTTAGTCGAGACTTCGTTGGAAATCATGCAATTCTTTTTTTGTCTCTATAAAGAACATATTTGAGAGCAATGAATTTTTCTTTCTTGTTTTTTTTTTGTTTTTTTGTTTTTTGTTTTTTTTTTTTTTGTTTATTTTATTATCCAGCTAATCTTACTGGAATCCATTTTCTGGTCTGAGGCAAAAATAAAAAAAGAAGAACTTTGTCTACAGGAAGATTGGGAAATAATGACCATAAAGCTTCAAGTTTTGCCCAGTGACAGAACTTAAAACTTTAAGATGAAAACTTCTTTGAACCAACACCAAGAGACAATGAAGAAAGGTACATACCTTATCTACTGGGAGGAAGTCATTTTCAACTTCTATTGACCTTGGTCGTAGCTTTATGGGTTTGTCTTTGAAGATGTCTCCAAAGCCAACACCTTTGACCTTTTTGGGTTGGATTGTCGTGCCTCCGTTGGCTCCTTCTGATTTTGTACTGCAAGAGTCACCACCATCACTCTCAGAGCCTGTAGCATCTTTTAGGCCTGTGAAAAGGAGGGATGAAAGGTGTGAAACTCACTATTTTCAGATCTGATTGTGACTGGAAAATGATCCCTCCCACCTTCCTCTCGAGGAAAACAAAACCACAAGAAACAGGTAGAAAAGATGCTCTCTGTGCCATGCACTCATTTTGACTTGGAAAAATGACTGTATTTCATCACATGGGTGTACTGGTTAGAAATTACACCAATCCACAAATTCACAAAACATGCATACTCCAGCATCAAAACTTCACAAATTAGGATGGTGATTTCTTGAGTACCAAGAAAATCCTTATTCCTCAGGCAAAACCTTTTTGGAAGTGGCCTTCAATAAAAGAAAGAGTTAAATTCAGCTGTAAGGCACCTATTGTATAAAGCCACGTAAAGCTAACAAGCAGTCAGATCAGGCATGCTGTACCTTACATCTGTGTGACTCAAGCCAATTATGCAATTAGTATCTAAAGCTACATTACCTAACTGGGAAATATAAAGCTGAAAGCTGTTCAAACAAATTTGCAATCAAATAAGCTGCATAATATGTTCCCTGCTGAAAATTAAACATCTCTGCAGCACAGACAGCCTCATAAGGAAAGCACCCATGCACACTCTCCTCTAGGAATATAACAGATCAAAACTGACATTCTGATTTGCATTACTTCTTTCAGTGAATAGGAAAATTTACCTGCATTTATCTGAAAATATCTGCTGCTTGAATAGCATAGGCCACAGATGCAATAAGGTGATGTTTCAGCCATTCTACAGAAGAGTGCATCAGCTCAAACAGCCACAGGCAGCAAAAGTGACCCACTGAAGTTTCCTTCCCTAGAGCAGTTTTAAATCTGCCTCCCTACATGAACTGTTTCCAGGAAAACCACAGCAATTCCTGCTACTACAGCACTAATTCTAACTAACAATAAGGAGCTCAAATCCTCACATTTCCCTAAGAAGCACTCATGATGTCACAGATGTGGATCTTACAAGTCAAAGAAAGAAGAATTTCAAATACGCTTTTCTTCTTAATTACTTTTGTATCAAGGTCAACAAAGAGATTGCAATTGATTTTCATCATAAAAGGCTGACAGTACAGATGAACCACCGAAACCAGTGCAAGTCCTAAGGCCTCCAGGTACATCTTCATGATCCAGGACATGAGAGCCTCATTTGTTAAATGGGTTTCAAACCAGGGTGCTAGGAAATGAAATCAGGAATTACATGTCAGATCAGGACTTTTAGCCAAAACCAGGAAAGCCATGATATGTTGCCCTGAGATTTTGTGTATCTTTAACATGAAATAAGTATAAAAGCAGAATTAGAGAAAGTTCCCAATTAGAAACAAACAGAAAGACTACAGACTAATCAAAAAATTTTGACCCTCTAGCCTCCTTAGTGGCTGCTCATCTATTGTTGAACATCAGCAACATTTCTATTTCTTCAGATATTCAATTTAATTCAAATAACACCAAACAAGTTATTTTTTCCATAAGCTGTGCAGGATTGCAATTTAAATTAATTTTAAATTTAAATTAATATTAAATAATTACATTACAATACTTAATAATTATTATATTTATTACTATTACATTTATTATTTATAATTAATACATAATTAAATATGCAAAAGTCTTGATTTCTTTATGTTTTATTTTTCTGGGCCTGGGAGAAAACCTCAAATCTGGTTAATTATCATATTTATTATGGTAGTTAGAATGGTAGCATGCCTGCCATCAGTAAAATAAATCCTGTGCACTACTTCTCTTCCAGACCTCAGGCAATCAGTAACCAGGGAATTTAAGCATGGACTGCAATGCTGATTGGTGCTCTGGAGGGCAGGAGAGGAGTGGCTATCCATAGCAGAGCCACTGCACAGTGTTTCCAGCAGAGGCACTCCGAGATACAAGGGTAAATTAAGCTAGACAGGTATAAATCTCTTTGGGCAGTGTGGCTAAGTCACTGCCCCTTTCTTGTTCCCTCCCATTGCTCTGACTTGGGCAGTAACTGAAGAAGCTGTAAGTTCTACCAGATAGATCTTCTCCAGCTCTGCAAATTATCAATCACTGGGGCCCTGGCTGAGACAGAAGCTAGAACCAACTTTATTTACCACTTCTAACTGCAAAGATGATGGTCAGCAATTGACTATAGTGAGTATAAAACTTCCACAACTCAAAAAACTCAACCAAATTGTAGTGATTGTCATCTTTTAGCTGAACAGAATATCTTGATATGGAAAATTACTCTCTGGCAAAGGTTTGTACTGTTATTCTCGCCAAAATCTCAAACTATTCTGTGATGGAGGGAAGAAGCAGTGAAGACACCTCCCTCCAGAAGTAACTGATAAGAATCCATGACTGCTCTTAGTCACTCCTTGGAATGAACAGAAAATCTGTGTTTAAAATAGGTTATCAAAATATGTTCTCTGCATCCCTAATTGTGGAAGAAGAAGATTTGGACTTTGGTCAGTGGATGGAATTAAAGTATGAAAGTAATTGTGAGAATTACTCAACAGGTCTCACATGGATTTCAGATCTTTGAAGTCTACATGAAAGAAAGATCAGAAACCTCAAGAGATTCTAATAAGAATATAACTTTTGTTTCTTTCTGGGTCATCACTTGTTTTTCATTACAGCATTTTCAGCCTTTATGACCATTCTTCTGTGATGAGGCACCACACTTTGTATCAGAAGCCTCACCTCAGGGTCACAACAGATTTCCCAAGCATCACCCATCTGACCCATCTGTGCTTGATGATAATCCAAGAGTTGTTTGTTCTCTGTACTGCCACAGAGCTGTGTCAGTATACAGTCCTCAAAATGAAAGCAACATAGGAAATAACAGCATTGCTTCTTTTCCCTTTCTTGCTTTTTTTTTTTTTTTTTTTTTTTTTTTTTTAATGAGGACAGAATGGACTGAAGTGTGGCCTGTCAAAACTAAATTGCATTTGGGCGATCAGATACAAAGATCATTCAAAGTTAAAAAGAGTTCTTCCAGATCACTTGGGAAATGATCTAATTTAATTATTTTTTACTGACCCAAACTAAGGAGTTCTCTGTACTTAGCTAAATAAATCAGTAAGAATAAAAGCCCTGCTTTTGCTCTTACCACAACATGACTGGGTTCTGGAGACAAAGGGGACAAAAGAAAAGAACTGTATGCAGTGGAAACTGTAGAACAAATCAGATAAATTGAGGATCTGCAGTAACATATAGAAAGAATAATGCATTGCTTGAGTACAGAACAGTCTTGCAGAAAATAGTCTAACATGCTCTTAATATTGAAGGCATGCTGACGAGACTCTCTCTTACTTTCCTGTCCAGGTACATGAGATATACTCTTCTGATTTGGACAGATAAAAAAATTGGAAGCAAGGATTTCCAACACTATGCCCATCCTTGCCTGATAAATTCTCTCCTCACTTATTTTTTCATTGGGTTGTTCCCTGATACATATATGTGTGTGTGTATATGTGATACATATGTGTGTGTATATATATGTATCAGTATACATCTATCAGCAATTCTCTTGGTGCACCTGCAACCTGGCTCAGGTGATCTTTCCTCTTAAAACCAGAAAAATGCTCCTCTTCCAATCACACTGGGGTTTTTTTGGTTGTTGGTTTTTTTGTGTGTTTGTGTGTTTTTGGTGTTTTGTTTTTGGTTTGGTTTGTTTGTTTGTTTTGTTTAGCTTTTCATGGAATTTTTTGCCACTATGCAAATAGTTTAGCTGTGTGGCAGAACACAGCTGGCTTGATAGTTTCTCCAAAAGATAAATGTAGCCCATGGACACAGCTGGGATCTAGGCAGGAACCCGAGTGACACAGACTGTCATGTCATGTATGCATGCATTTTAAGTATGAAATTTTCTTCATGAAGAGCTTCAGCTATCTGGGAGGTTAGGCTGCTAAATGAACATTAAAAGTCGGAGAGAATTTCAGTGGTCACAGTCCCCCTCTCTGCTGACCATCACACCCACTCAGCCTGAGACAGCTGTGCTCTACCACAGCGATGGCCTTCAGCACAAGGATGAGGCCAGCAGCTCAGCAAACTGCTCTCCTCAGAAACAGAGAACATCTTGCTCTTCCTTTAAGCCCATTAAGTACTTCAAACAAAGCCAGTATAGGATAAAAGCTACAGTAGTCAGGCCTCTCCCGACTTTTTGCTACTTTTTTTTTTTTTAAAGCAACTTCTCTAGAATCTGTCAGCTCTCTGTCAGCATTTGGAGAGCTGACAATCTAAGAACATAACATCAATAAGGTGGTCACTAACATGCTTACTATCACGTCAGTCTTAATAGCAGGAAAGTTTTTTAGAACTTTAATATTTCTCAGGACATATTTCTCAAGTATTTTGGTAGTGTCACTTCAAATTTCTGGCTCTATAAGCAAAACTGCTATTCTTTTACCTCGATTTATTGTTGCTGAATCATCTGTAGCACCACAAGGTAGAGCTCAAATCTAAGCACTGGTTGTATTTTTCTAGTAAGTTCCCTGAAGTCTGAACAAGGGCACCATCACCAGCAAGAAGTCAAAATTCCCAGAGGCCGACTGTTTCAGCTTTTGGCTGAAACAAGATATGGGTCTACAGCTTTTTAAAAACACTCAGAATTTTGATTCTTTATTGATTCATGCTCCTTACAAATGCAAGCTCATTTAGTATTCATGAAGATTAAATTTTCTCAAAACTGGAGGAATTTTGCACTTCACACATTTTTTCCTCTATGGGTATAGAAGAAAGATTAGTTTCCTCAAGACATTTCAAACACACCACACTCCTGCTATAGCAGTTACCGGTCTTTTGAGAGCAACATTCTGAAATGTACCAAAACAGATTAGCTCAAACAGGGATTAAAAAGAGACCACAACATCAGACTTAATTCAGAAACGGCCTCTCAGAGCTGTGCTGGCATCAAACCAGGATTCTAAATCAGAAAGATAGTAAGGGATGATAAAGGGCTGTGTAACTAAAGCTGTTAAAATAAAAATAAACAGCTGTGGTAAAATTAACTCCATT